TGGTCACATAAATTGCTTTTGTACCGTGCCCATCCCCCAGAGAGTGTGCATTGTACCGTTAGGTGTGATTTTACCCATCCCTTCCTCCTCTCCCACTTGCTTGATTTCCAATTAATGTTATTTCCATATATGCACATGAGTGTTGATTAATTAGTTCCAATTTAATGGTGTGTACATGTGGTATTTGTTTTTCCACTCTTGTGATACTTCACTTAGAAGAATGGTCTCCCAATTCCATGCAGGATAATAATAGAGGTATTAGTTCACCATAGTTTTTGTGGCTGAGTGGTACTTCATGGTATACACAGACCACATTTTATTAATCCACTCATGTATAGATGGACATTTGGGTGTTTCCACATCTTTGCAATTGTGAATTGTGCTGTTATAAACAGTTGAGTTCAGGTAGGTGTCTTTTTGATAGAATGTCTTTTTTTCCTTTGAGTAAATACCCAGTAGTGGGATTGGTGGATCAAATGGTAGTTCTGCTTAGTTCTTTGAGGTATCTTTACACTGCTTTCTGCAGAGGTTTACTGGCTTACAATCCCACCAGCAGTGTATCAGTGTTCCTACTCTCCACATAAATGCCAACATTTGTTGTTTTGGGACTTTTTGATAAAAGCCATTCACACTGGGATAAAATGATTTCTCATTCTAGTTTTTGATTTGCATTTCCCTGGTGATTAGAGATGTTGAGCATTTTTCATGTATTCGTTGGCCATTAGTCTATCTTCTTTTGAAAAGTTTCTGTTCATGTCTTTTGATCACTTTCTAATGGGGTTGTGTGACTTGTTCTTGCTGATCTGCTTGAGTTCGTTGTAGATTCTAGTTATCATCCCTTTATCGGATGTATAACATGCAAATATTTTCTCCCCTTCCGTAGACTATTTGCTCTATTGATTGTGCCCTTGGCTGTGAAGAAGCTTTTTAATTTGATCAGGTCTCATGTATTTATTCTTGCTGTTGCTGTGGTTGCTTTTGGGGTCATCTTTGTAAATTCTTTGCCTATGCTGATATCTAGAAGAGTTTTTTCAACCTTTTTTCTAGAATTCTTATAGTTTCATATCTTAGATTTGAGTCTGTTATCCATCATGAATTAATTTTTGTGAGTGGTGGGAGGTGTGGATCAAGTTTCAGTCTTCTACATGTGGCTATCCAATTTTCCCAGGACCATTTATTGAATAGGAATTCTCCTTCCCAATGTATGTTTTTGTCTGCTTTGTCAAAGATCAAATGTCAATATGAAGATGGTTTTATATCTGGGTTCTCTGTTCTTATCCACAAATCTATGTCTGTTTTTGTGCTATTTCCATGCTGTTTTGGTTACTATAGCCTTGTAGTATAGCTTGAGGTATGGTAAAGTGATACCTCCCAATTTGTTCTTATTACTTAACATTGTTTTGTCTATTGGGGGTCTTTTCTGATTCCATATGAAGCATACAGCTATTTTTCCTAGATCTGCAAAAAATACCATTGGTATTTTAATAGGGATTGCATTGAATCTGTAAATCACTTTGGGTAGTATAGATATTTTAACAATGTTGACTCTGCCGAACCATGAGCATGATATGTCTTTCCATCTGTTTACATCCTCTGCAATTTCCTTCCTCAGTGTTTTGTAGTTCTCCCTGTAGAGGTCTTTCACATTGTTAGTTAAATATATTCCTAGGTATTTTATTTTATTTCTTGCTATTATGAAAGGCATTGAGTCTTTGATTTGATTCTCAGCTTGACTGTTGCTGACATATATGAATACTATGATTTGCATACATTGATTTTGTAGCCTGAGACTTTGATGAATTTGTTTATCCATTCCAGGGGACTCTTGGCAGAATCTTTGGGGTTTTCTAGATATAAGATCATATCATCAGCCAAGAGTAATAGTTTGACCCCTTCTTTCCCTATTTGGATACCCTTGATTTCCTTCTCTTGTCTGATTGCTCTGGCTAGGACTTCCAGAAAAATGTTGAATAGAAGTGGTGATAGTGGGCAACCCTATCTGGGACTGCAAACTAGCACAAACTCTATGGAAAATAGTATGAAGATACCTCAAAGTACTAAAAGAGGACCTACCATTTGATCCAGCAATCCCACTATTGGCTATTTACCCAAAGAAAAAAAAGTCATGTACTTGAATGTTTATTGCAGCACAATTAACAATCACAAAGATGTGGAAATAATCAAAGTGCCCATCAATAATAGATTAATAAAATGCAGTATATGTACACTATGGATTAATAGTGGATTAATAAAATGTGGTATATGTATAGTATGGAGTACTATCCAGTCATAAAAAATGGTGAACCTTTTGTATGTTACCTTTTGTAACAACCTGGATGGAACTGGAGACCATTCTTCTAAGCGAATTGCAAGAATGAAAAAATAAATACCACATGTACTCACTATTAAATTGGAACTAATCGACCAACACTCACATGCGCATATGATAATAAAACTCAGCAAAAACCAAGCATGTGGGAAGGGGGAAGAGAGGACAGGCAATTTCACACCTAACAGGTACTATGCACACTATCTTGGTGATGGGCACACTTATAACATTGACTCAAACTGTACAAAAGCAAATCATGTAACCAAAACATTTGTACCCCCATAATACTCTGAAATTAAAAAATAAAAAAGTATATATAATTTTTCAAAATAGGATGATACATTTGAAAGTTTACCAATTAAAAATATATCAATTAAGAGAAATATGCCATTAAGCAATTGATCAGTAGGCAAATTAGTTTTAGGTAAATTGGAATTATGGTCAACTGATTCTTAGAACTCATGAAAATCAGCAAGAAAAAAATCAATAACCCTATTAAAAAGTGGGCAAAGGACTTGAACAGAAACTTTTCTAAAGAAGACAGAAGAATAGCCAATAAATATATGAAAAAATGCTCAACATCTCTAATCATCAGGGAAATGCAAATCAAAACCACAATGAGGTATCACTTAACTCCAGTAAGAATGGCCTTTATCAAAAAGAAACACACTGTAACCAAAATGTAAAAAAAAAAAAAGAAAGAAATTTTGTTAATGGGAGGTGAACAGGTGGAAGGGGGGAGAAGGGGAAGGGTACACACTTTCATGGTGGGTACAGGGCTCACCACTTGAAGATTGGACACGCTTGAAGCTCTGCAGAGTGGTATGGAGGGGGGCAGGGCAAGATATGTAACCCTAACAATATTTTACCACAGAATTTGGGAAAAATAAATAATAAATAAATAAATAAAAAGTTTCCAAACAAAGATGCTGGCGTGGCAGAGAGAGAGGAACACTCCTACACTGCTGGTGGACTACAACTAGTTCAACCTCTGTGGAAAGCAATATGGAGATACCTTAAAGCATACAATGGATCTGCCATTTATCCAGCAATCCCATTGCTGGGCATCTACCCAAAAGATCCAATGACACTCTACAAAAAAAGACACCTGCACTCGAATGTTTATAGCAGCACAATTCATAATTGCAAGGCTGTGGAAACAGCCCAAGTGCCCAGCAATCCAAGAATGGATTAATAAAATGTGGTATATGTATACCATGGAGTACTATTCAGCTCTAAGAAACAATGGTGATATAGCACATCTTATATTTTCCTGGTTAGAGCTGGAACCCATACAACTAATGGTATCCCAAGAATGAAAAACAAGCACCACATATACTCACAGCAAACTGGTATAACTGAGCGCACACTAAGTGGACATATAGCTACTACAGTAATAGGATATTGGCACAGAGGGGGAGGAGCGGGTATATACATACATAATGAGTGAGATGTGCACCATCTGGGGGATGGTCATGATGGAGACCCAGACTGTGGGGGAGGGAGGGAAAGGGCATTCATTGAAACCTTAAAATCTGTACCCCCATAATATGCCGAAATAAAAAAAAAAAGAAAGAAAGTAGGAAAAAAAAGAAAAAAAAAGGCACACTCTTAGGCTCTCAATACTTTGTTGATATATGGTGGGATGGGATAAAAGTTAGAGAATCTCTTTAATAGGGTCTTTTAACAAGACATGGTTTTTGAGAAAATAATGAGCATTTTGCACTGTCTTTGATCTTTTAGCTTTCCTGATCTCACTACCCTTCTTTTTTTTTTTTTTTTTTGAGAGCAGGTCTCCTTTGTTGCCCAGGCTAGAGTGAGTGCCCTGCGTCAGCCTAGTTCACAGCAACCTCAAACTCCTGGGCAGCGATCCTCGGCCTCAGCCTCCCAGTAGCTGGGACTACAGGCATGTGCCACATGCCCGGCTAATTTTTTAGAATATATATCAGTGGCCATAATTTCTTTCTATTTATAGTAGAGAGGGGTCTCGCTCTTGCTCAGGCTGGTTGAACTCCTGACCTCAGCAATCGCCGCCTCCGGCTCCCAGAGCTAGGATTACAGGCGTGAGCCACCGCGCCCGGCCTCACTACCCTTCTTAAGTGAGGTAGTTATAGAGGATTTCCTAAGTAGTATGATGTAGTAGCAATGAAGAAGAAATTAGTCTTCAAACGGGAACTAAGTGTATCCACCTTTCTGATGTCATTAAGACCATTGTAGACACATGACAGCAGCCTCTTTTTTAAGTAATAACTCAATGAAACACATTCTTTTACAAATGGATCTTAGGCAATTCTCTTGTCCCTACTGTGGAAAAGAATATCTTGTGGAAGAGTTCCTTTGTCAGTCAGAGGACTTGGAGTGATAGAACTTTACATACTCACATGACCTTACTCCTTGGCCCCCTTCAAAAAGAAGTTTGGCTCCAGTATTATCCTGTGGTCAAATTGGGAACCCATAAAAAAAAGCGTTAGCCATCTGGTTTCCTGTAATTAGGTTAATTTGTTACCAAATTTAGACACTCTGTGGTTTGGAAATATTCCAATGGAAGCTGTTTTATTTCCTTATTTGTTAAGCTTCATTGACCAAGAGGAACCTCAGGCCCCCAGAAGCAAATAAAAGGCCCCATGTTTCACCAACACTGCTCACTCATCTCTCTACTGGGCACTCAACCATGAGACTCCATTCCCTCCTTTCTGTTTTCCTCCTCTTTGTGACTATAATATCAGAAGGTAAGACTGGGAATGATTGTAGAGGTAGGTTTCTTAGGAGGCCCTATTAGGGTGCTCAGTTATACTGTGGTCATCCTAACAGAGACTCCAGTGCACATCCTTAGGAATTCAGAAGTCCAACATGATCATCTCCTTTTGGAACTGATGAAGTCGAAATTGAGAAACAAGACTAGCAGTTCCATCAACAGAAAATGGGATCTAAAGCCTCCATAGCTAGAAAATGGGTCCCAATGAAAGAGATAGAGGTATAGAAGCTTTGAAATGTGACTTACAGCTTAGCAAATAAGGCAAATGGCCATCAGGGCCCCACTCTGCAATAAGGAGAGTGAAGATGCCAGCTGTTAGTTCAGACTTGGGTAGAGAATGTAAGTGATACAGAGTCTATTGGTGAGGAATATTTGTAAATGGTAAAAGTTAGGTAAATAAGACAGAGCTCAGGAAGAAAGGACTACATCAAGTTATAAAAGAGCAATAGAGAAATCTGGGAGCAGAGGAATTTGGAAAAAGTATAAACAGTGGTATGAAGAAGCTTCACTGGCAAAATTTTAAGCATAAGAAAATAATATAGGAAGCATTTTAACAATCTTAGTTGTAGCCTTAGAGTCCATGATTCAGAGGTTTGAATATCAAAATGTAGAATCAAAGTGAAAAGAATATAGTCATATTCAGATTGTTTCATCCAGATACTAGAAAGATCTGAGAAATTCTTCTCTCCATTGATAATGGCATAATGTTCATATCCGTCAAAATAATGTCAATGATCATTGAACATAGATTTCTTCCTTGGTTCATCTCTGAGATTCTTTTACATATAAAGTTACTCAATTGCTTAACTGTTGCCCAATCTGTGGACATGTCAGAATCTACCTGAAATATGGTTGTCTCCTCCTGAAGGAGTTCATGTAATTAATTCTCATTTGGTGCTAAGCTTCAGTCAGAAGACACAGCTGAAGTGAGACACCTGTGTAGTGACATATAATGTAAAATTATATGGTGTTAATACTTTAAAATTATATAGCAATTGAATGCTCAATTTTTTTCATTGCAGATCATAGAACCCACCACGTCCACATAAAGAATATGATTTTACTATGGCCACACAGGTAGTGGCCGCACTGCAGCTAGAACCAAGTATTTTTAATCAGGGTCAATATTGTTTTCATCAGTCCCCAGGTGTGAGTATGCACATAAAAATGGCCACCCTGATTTTTCTCAGACATTTTGTCTCAAAATCTCCTATTGAGTAAAGTAAGGAGATTTTATACCTGGAGGATATTATGCTCTGTGAAATAAGCCAATCACAGAAGACAAAAACTGTCTGGTTCCACCTATGCGAGGTACCTAAAATAGTCAAAGTCATACAAACAGATAGTAGAATGGTTGTTGCCAGGGGCTAAGGGTAGGAGGAAAAGGGCAGTTGCTATTCAATGGGTGTAAGTGTCAGTTACACAAGATGAAGAGATCAACTCACTGTACGGCATTGTGTCTGTAGCACTTAAAACTTTTTTTAAGAGGATAGACCTCGTGTTAGGTGCTCTTACCACAATAAAATAAAGGCAAACAACAGGAGGTTATCAGAGGTTGGAAGCAGAGTTAGTCACCCCACAAATATGACAAGAATCTTCCAGAGACCAGCCTTTCAAGGCATGACATCTCCTTCCTCCAAAACAGGCAAGATAGTCCCTCCTTTGTTCCTCCCAAATCAACTGTACCTGGAGGATGGATTGTAAAAATGTCCTATAATTCTGTGCAGAAGGGAATCATTTTCAAAAGCCCAGGTCTCTTGTAATCAGAGGATATTAAAGCCATGTGAAAAAGGTCAGAATGCCTTACTTTTGCATACTGAGTTGTTCTTAGAACATATTATGAAATTAGATCCAGAACACTCTGTGGGTAAAAGAAGAGGAATTTCTTTGTTAACAGCTGTATGTTGTCTCTTAGTACTAGATAGTTAATGTCCAAGCTATCTGCAGAGTTTAATAACATTACAATCCTCAAAATCCCGATTTTAATCCCTGCTATGACCTTTGGGTGTTTGGAACCTATCAGTTGTCTGGAATCAATCTGATAATCTTAGAAACTTTTTTAATGCTGTATGAATTTCAATTCACAAAATTTGTTTTCAGGAGAATTGAGTGGCTGGATCATAGTTTGATTAAAGGCATTTATCAAAAGAAATATATAATCAGGTGGGAAAAAATCACTGTTTTCATGAAGAAATTTCTCCAAAGAAACTACATAATCAAAAATATTGGTTTATTAACCTACAGTCTAAGATGTTAAATAATCAATACTTGAATATGTATCTTCATATATCCTTAAATTTCTCCAAAAAAGAATCTGTGGTATCCTGGAAAAGATTGGAAACATTTATATACATATTTATATATGCATACATATATATGCTGAGAATATAGGCATAAATATGGGCTAAAATGGCATAAATCTTCAATTGATTCATTAGCCCCCTGATCTGAGAATTAGGACAATGATAGCATTCTTCTAACAATAACTTTGGGTAGACTTTGGACATCATAACATTTAAATAGATCACATTGGACAGGTGCAAAAGACAACTTGAAGTCTACATTATGTATAGAAAACTGCCATTTTATTGTTTGATTGATAAAATTCCAAGAAGAGCCTATTTCATCCAAATTCTATCCACTACCATCACCAGAAACATTGAAAAGTTAATAATTCAATGAGCTCTAATACTGAGCAAGTCATATCCTTTTAAAGATTAAATGAATGTATCACTATAAGGTCTTTTATTTTAGTGTGATTCTAAGTTCTTCTCACTTTATCCACAGAAATTTATGTTAGAATATGAATTGCTCATCTATTTTGTTTCTTTTTTAGCAGCAATTATTAAATATGTATCCTTTCTCCAAATGCCCTGTGATATAACCCTTATAACATATTAATATCATGTCAATTTTGAAGTATATTAGAGAGCCATTCTCTTTTATTGCTCTAGATATGTATCCTTTTACCAATAAGTCTAAAAATAAATGCCAATATCTGGGACGAAATGCCAATCTTTATGAGCCTGGCAATTTTAATATTATCTTCTTGACCTGAACTAGTGCCCTGGGCATGAAGCTATGTCACAACCATTGGCATAACAGAGATTATAACTCTTGGCTTCCTGCTCAGAGAACATCTCCTTAAATTAAGCTTCATTTAGCAGGAAGCACAGCACTGGTGGAATGAATTGTCCCATTCCTTTTGATTGATGCAAGAAGCATCTTCCAAGCAGAGAAAACAAGACTATCCCAGACTAGTACCAGGAGGCCGAACTTTACAGTGTAGTCGGTTATGGTTCTCTACCCTGCAGGCAGAAGTTAGCTCTCTTGGTTTCAGTTGAAGACTCACACATTCCACCTCCCTCTGCACAGGATGCCTCGTCTAAGTTCATACACAGAAGCATCCTTGACACCACACTCTTGCCACTTACTGTGTCTCTCCCAATACTGATAACCTTCAATTTTAGCCTCATTTAAAAAAAAACCTGACGATCTTACCAGATGTTACACTGGATGCATGGATGAAGTTATTAGAGGAAAGACCAACAGCTGGCAACAGGACTGCCGTGCTGCTGAGCGTGAAGCCTGCGCTCTGTGTAGACAGTGAAGCTGGGCCAGTGCCTTCCACAAATGGCTGTGGAGATTTCAATTCTCTCACTGAAAGACAGCCACTTTCTCTTCCAGAATAGTCTTGGCAAAGCAGAGGTAGTATTACAAGATATGCTCATCCATCTCCTCCATTGTACCATTTTCTGGCTACACAAAGACTGAGTTTATGCACCACTAGCTGGAGAGCAGAGTGTAATAGCAGACTGAACCAGTTGAAACCTTCCAATAAGGGTATGACACAGTCTTGCACAAGCTGCGAGCAAACACTGCAAAACGCTGCATTGGCTTATCTGGCTATGGATATTTTTCTACAATGAGAGCCTAGTTTAAATGCAAAGTGATTATAACAACAACAAAAAGATTCAGAGCCACAAAGGCATCAAACTGTGAGTCAAACTGTAGTAGTTAGGCAGCAAAAAAGTGCCAGTCAGGGTTAGTATATTACAGGATGGTAAAAGCAAAATGACACAAGGCAGGTAAATAGGATGGCGAGGAAGGAAAATCTTATTAACGAACATAAGCAGAAGTGTCTCCGTGATGTAACACTGACTGTAATTCACTGTGGAAAGAATGAACCTCAGTTGTGCAGAGAAGGTAAGAGGAAAAGTACTGAGCATAAAGGAGGCTACTCTATTGAGCACACACTTAGCCACGTGCATCTCAGCAGCCAAACAAATTAAGAAAACATATGGACCCATTTAAGAGAAAATACCTCTCAGCTCTCAGAGGAATCCCCTCCCTATATCTATATACAAGGAGCATGGAACAACATAGGAAGGGTATTTCTTACTTAGTCTTGAAGTGGGGAAATCAGTTAAGATAAAAACTGAAGGCTTGATGGGCTTTCTAAAAAAGATGAAGATGAGAACATGTACCCTATGATGAGGATGATGTAAGCACAGATGGGAAGGTGGAATGACAGGTACTTCCTTTGAAACAAAGCTTCTTAGTGAGGGCATTGTGGACATTTGGTGCAGGACAATCCATCAGGTGGAAAATCTAGCAATCCTGTGCCTTACTCACTAAATACCAGAGATACCCTCCCCAGTCGTGGTGGCAACAACAGTCACTCACATTTCAAAATCTGGGAAAAAGCTCCAGTTGAGAAAAAGTTCTCTAAAGGCTTTTAGAAATCAGCTTGTCCTCTCCAAGATGCGTGTAGTCCACACTCTTGGCCTCCCTCCCTAAAAAAGGCATTACTTTCATCTAAGTGTCTGATAATATTATCTGTCCTATCCCAAAACCATCCTTCTGGGGGTTTATTGCTTTATGTGCATTTCCAATAATTTGATGGTGAATTGATTATGTTATCAAATATCTTCCTGTACAGGAAAGGCTGGCGTTATCCCAGGGCTAAAACAGTGTATTACTTTGAAAGGAGTGTGCAAAACTGGAGGATGTACCAGCGTAGATGATACCCTTGGTGTGTGTAATTATGAAAAAAAATGTTGTAGAAAGTGGTGGATATTGAATCCTTATCCAACGCCGATTCCCAAAGGAAAATCTCCTTAGATGGGATGAAAGATATAATCACAAAAGATGTAAGCACTTCGGACTCCAGAATGAATGGATAAATTTTGCGGGCTCCTGTTTAACCCAACGTGTTCTTCTCCCTTGATTGGAAATAAATGTTGTCTTAATTCCACATGTACTGATCTCTGGGGCATTTCTTCTTGTTGCACATGCAAGCCACTTAAGAACTACATGAATAAACAAAATAATAGAGGAATCTCATGCCCTAGAGGTATTAATATAAAATTTGATTTTCTGGGGAAAAGATACAGTTAAAACTTTCAAATAAGTGTACACAATAGCAGTAAGTAGTGTGTGATTTTAGAGCATCAACACTCTTCTTTCTCTGGTTCTGAAAAAATAGGTCATTTTTGTTACTAATAGAGACCTACTTGGAGAATATGGGTTAAAGTCTGCGAATCATGTGGCCTTGCTAACATTGCAGCTGAGAATTAGGCACACTACTGACCCAGTCATTTCGACATAAAACTCAAGTAGGTCTCCCTTCTGCAGCACCCTGCTCCTTGATAAGTAGAATACCTGCTTGCTACAAGTAGGATCACCTACTTGGAGAGCTGAGGAGCTAACTCAGCATGCCCAGTTAACTCTTTCCAAAATCACCATTTCATAACTTGACTTTCTGGGGCTAAGGAAATTAAAGAGCAAGAAAGCATCAGTGAACTGTGGAACCACTTTATTTTTATTTTATTTATTTATTTTGAGACAGAGTCTCACTCTGTTGCCTGGGCTAGAGTATCGTGGCATCAGCCTAGCTCCCAGCAACCTCAAACTCCTGGGCTCAAGCAATCCTTCTGTCTCAGCCTCCAGAGTAGCTGGGACTACAGGCATGCGCCACCATGCCCAGCTAATTTTTTCTATATATTTTTTAGTCGGCCAATTAATTTTCTTTCTATTTTAGTAAAGTGAGATCTCTTGCTCAAGCTGGTTTCGAACTCCTGACCTTGAGGGAGCCACCTGCCTCAGCCTCTCAGAGTGCTAGGATTATAGGCGTGAGCCACCACGCCCAGCCCTGTGGAACCACTTTAAACAGCTTAGTACATGTCTATTTGAAGTACTGAAGGAGAAGAGGCAGAGAAGAAAATATATTTGAAGAAATTATGGCCAAAAAATTCAAATATAATTTTAAAATAAATGCACAGATCTAGTGAACTTTAAGTAGAAAAAATCATGAAGAAAACTACACCAAGTCACATCTCATATACTTTTGTAAGGTTTTTATATTACATGTAAAGGATTATAATACCCAGTAATAAACTGTGAGAAATTAAAGAGGAATACTATGAATGCTAAAGTAATCGTGAAAATAACATAACATAGCATAACAATATTGATATCCAATAACAAAAAAAGAGATAAAATGAAATCATCAAGACTACCTTATAAATCCTAGCACTCTGGGAGGCTGAGATGGGAGGATTGCTGGAGCTCAGGAGTTCAAGACCAGCCTGAGCAAGAGCAACACCCCATCTCTACTAAAAATAGGAAAAATTAGCTGGGCGTGGTAGTGCACGCCTGTAGTCCCAGCTACTACGGAGGCTGAGGCAGGAGGATTGCTTGAACCCAGGAGTTTGAGGTTGCTATGAGCTAGGCTGATGCCATGTCACTTTAGCCAGGGTGATGGAGTGAGACTCTGCCTCAAAAAAATAAAATTAAATAAATAAATAAAAAGAAGAAAAAGGAAACAAAGAACACATAGGATAGGACATCAGGTAAGATGGCTAAATGGGGGGGGGTCCCCAGATCTTATCCTTCTATAGAGCACTGTTTTGGCAACCATCCACAGACAGAAATGTCTTTGTGCGAATTTTAGGACCCAGTTAGGAGGTTATGACACTCCACTAGAGCCCAAGACCAAGGAAAGCTGCTTTGAGAAAGCAGGTCCATGACCCTGGTAGCTGGTCAGCCAATCACAAATTTGACTGTGAACACAGAAACACCACCTTCCATTTACCCACTTCATCCCTGCTTAGACATGGTCCCAGATGTGGCCCCATATGCCCAGGAACCATGGAGGAACCACACTTGCCGTGGCCCTCAATAAAATGTCCACCAACCACAAACTTAATTACAGACTTAGAGACAATGCCAACTGCCCATGCACCCAGGTCCAGCCCAGCTCACCCACAGGACTGGCTTTAGACCTGTTGGTTTGTGATCTAGGAGGTAGGCCCAACTATTCTCAGTATAGACTCCAAACACATACACCCACAAATATAGTTCCAGCTCCACTTGCTCATGGATCTAATGGCCCCACACAAAAATCTCAGCAGTAGGCCTACCCTATGACACACCAGCTGTTGATTCTTCAGACTATGCCAGGCAACCAGCCAAGAATCTCTGACTGGGCTGACTGATGAAGGTCTATACCCACTGAAATCATCCTGGAAAGACTGGAAGACTCGACTGCTCCTTCAAATGCACAGATACGAATGCAAGGTTATAGGGATTATGAAGAATCAGGCAAATGGGACACTACACAAGAAAACTAAAAAAGCACCAATAACAGACTCTAGAGAAATAAAAATTCATGAACTGCTTGACTAAGAATCCAAAATAATCATCCTGAAAAAGCTCATTGACTAAAAGAGAATAAAAATTGACAACTAAACAAAAAAATCAGGAAATTAATTCATGAACAAAAAAGAGGTTCAATAAAGACACAGAAACCATAAAATAAGAAGCACAGAGAAATTTTAAGGCTGAAAAATACATTGATTAAACTGAAAAATTCAATAGCAAGTTTCAATAGCAGCCCTGATCAAGCAGAAGAAAGAACCAGTGAACTCAAAAGACATGACATTTGAAATTTTAGTGGGAGGTGGATAAAAGGATGAATAAAGCCTACAAGAGTTATGAGACACTATCAAATAAACAAGTATATGCATATAGGACTCCCAAAGGAACAGAGAAAGAGAATGAGGCAAAAAGCATATTTGGAGAAATAATAACTGAAAACTTCTCAAACCTAGGAAGAGAAATGGATTACCAGATTCATGAAGCCTACAACAAATTTCCCAACTCTATGCCCCTTACCCATGAGCTGCAGCAATTCAAAGAATAACTATGCTCCACACCAGCCCCCTAGTAACAAAAACCAACCAAAATCAGGCAACGAAAATGACAGAAGAGGATTTTCGTATATGGATCATAAGAGCACTTACCGACCTGCAAGAACAACTCAATAACCAACACAAAGAAACCACAAAAAGGCTCCAGGACCTAGAACAAAAGTTCACTAAAGAAATAGACACAATGAAGAAAAGTTTAACTGAACCCTGGAAATGAAGAATCAATTCAGGGAACTACAAAATACAGTGGAAAGTCTCAACAACAGGGTACATCAAACAGAAGAAAGAATCTCAGAGATTGAAGATAACACCCTCAAACTAAATAAAACTGTCACAGAGACAGAGCAGAGAAACAAGATAAAAGAGCAAAGCCTACAAGAGATGTAGGATTATGTGAAGAAACCTAATGTGAGGGTCATAGGGTTACAAGAAGGGAGAAAAGACAACACTCAAGGTGGACAAGCTATTTGAAGATATAATAGAGGAAAATTCCCAGGCCTTGGCTAAAAATCCGATATACATGTTCAAGAAGCAAAGAACGACCGAAAGATCAACAAACAGGAAGATGTCACAACATGCAGTCATCAGAATGACCAAAATATCAACTAAAGAGGCCCTTCTAAGAGCTGTAAGACAAAAGAAGCAAGTAACATACAAGTGAAAGCCAATTCAAATACACCAGACTTCTCTAATGAGACTTTACAAGCAAGGAGAGACTGGGCCCCCATTCTCACTCTTCTGAAACAAAACAATGATCAGCCTAGAATCTTCTTCCTGGCAAAACTAAGCTTCGTATATGAAGGAGAAATAAAGACATTCTCAGATAAGCAAAGGCTCAGAGAATTCATCAAGACAAGACCAGCCCTACAAGAAGTACTTAAAACAGTGTTACGCACGGAAGACCATAATAAAAATTCACGAATATAAAAACAACCAAAACCCAAAGATTAAAGGCCAGATAATACAATGGCTCAAGAGA